TGAAACAGATGAATCGTCAATAATCGTTGATTCGTGGTAAGTGGTTAAATGTGTCAGAGTCGTTACCACACTTTTGTGAATAAAGGTTACTAATACTAAAGTGAACATGCAGGACTGTTTCAAGCCATCCGCGTAACTCGAGACTGTAGCTCGTTAAGGTGAATGTGAAATATATGTCTGAAGTTGAAGGTTAATGCAACATCGTTGTGAAGTGGCGTTAGGGGCGGGATGAAGCGCTTCTACGATTAGTACCGCAACTTATATTCTCCGTGTTTGTTATGACAGGAAAGAAATCAAATTGCAAATGGGCTATTTAGCTGGAATCATTGGAGGTTTCCTCAGATCAACTTAAAAGGGCCAGTGTTTGGAGCAGAACTACCGCGCGTGAACTGGTCAACTTGGCAAGGTTAAGCAGGAATTTAGTCAACTGACTGTTCTGGCAGCAGAGTTTGCCTTCATCTCACAGCTGTTGATTGCCCAATACGATGCATTTCATGAGCGAATGTTCAGTATAGTCTAGTGGCTTTAGGGCCATCGCAGCCCCCTTTTCTATCTATGGTCAAAAGATCGTAATTCTATCTATTTAAGGCCCGGCTTGGGTGACTGGCAGTCAGTTGGTAAAACTAAGAGATATACGACGAATTTCCTTTCGTCTCGACCCCTGACTCTGGCAGTGCCTCCGATTCATGCGACGATAGGGATAGTCAAAATGACGGAAAATGGAAATCCTTTCCTACCGACAATCCCTTGAGATTAAAGTTAAAGGAGCTAGGGAAAGAGAAAAATAAAGAAATACGTAAGTTATTATTACACCTTTTCCATCTTTCATCATCCTTTAGTTCGCCTTTCTCTAATTCTATCCTAGTTCACTCTAGTTTTCACAACTAAGCTATGTACAGAATAGGTCACTGGAAATTGGAGATTGCTCGTGTGTACACTGTGCTTACTTTGCTCTTTGATGGTTGTGAATTGTCTACCTGGTACAGGTTTTATTCACTAAATTCCTTACAACCCGAATTTCGCTGTTGGCTATGGAATTTGTACTGTTTAATCATAGCTTCATTCTCGCTCACGTTCTTTTTTATTCCAAGCTAACGACGCTTAACCCATTTCGACTGAAACAGCTGGCGTCGATTGGGATTCAATGAGCTCCACCTCCATAGCTGTCTCTACGTTTACATCTATGTTCATTGCTGACTCTAAAATTGTATCTTCCTCGACCTCGACCACATCACGCAGGTGTGCTAACCAAAAGAACAGGTTGGATGATGCTGATGTCATGAATCGGTGAAAATTGGCAAAATGTGGCATTCTTAAACTGTGCAAGTAAATTTCCACTTTCTTCTATTAGCCTTACAAGTGTTTTTCAATGTTTGCACTGTACTGTACTCGTGTCGACTTTCCTGCTCATTTACTTTACTTTTTAGAAGCCAACATAACATTAAAATACTTGCATCCACTCTCGTTAGGCATACGTTTAAAGCTACACTGAACACGACATACCCCATTTTCGATAAATTAACTGCTGGATTAAACCCTCAATTATGCCTGGCTAGATCACAGTAAACAATCACTTCGGTGTGGGCTTTGTTTAGGTCAGTTGCAGAAATATGCCTTGAGATTTTTTGGGCTAGTATTGCTAATCAAGTTGGTACCGTGATAAAAGAGATCAGCAGGTGGCAAACGGCATTCACTGATAGTTGATGCAAGTTCCAATTTCCTTATTTCTCAGTTCGAAAAAGAATGAGTCT